TGTTGCAGGCAGCAGAACGTTCTCCACAGCGTCTCCAGACTCTGTCACGTCTGTCAGATGTGCTCAGTGTGAACCTGCTTTCATCTGTGAAGAGCACAGGGCGCCAATGGCGAATTTTCCAATCTTGGTGTTCTCTGGCAAATGCCAAACGTCCTGCACGGTGTTGGGCTGTAAGCACAACCCCCACCTGTGGACGTCGGGCTCTCATACCACCCTCATGGAGTCTGTTTCTGACCGTTTGAGCAGACACATGCACATTTGTGGCCTGCTGGAGGTCATTTTGCAGGGCTCTGGCAGTGCTCCTCCTGCTCCTCCTTGCACAAAGGCGGAGGTAGCAGTCCTGCTGCTGGGTTGTTGCCCTCCTACGGCCTCCTCCACGTCTCCTGATGTACTGGCCTGTCTCCTGGTAGCGCCTCCATGCTCTGGACACTACGCTGACAGACACAGCAAACCTTCTTGCCACAGCTCGCATAGATGTGCCATCCTGGATGAGCTGCACTACCTGAGCCACTTGTGTGGGTTGTAGACTCCGTCTCATGCTACCACTAGAGTGAAAGCACCGCCATTATTCAAAAGTGACCAAAACATCAGCCAGGAAGCATAGGAACTGAGAAGTGGTCTGTGGTCACCACCTGCAAAACCAGTCCTTTATTGGGGGTGTCTTGCTAATTGCCTATAATTTCCACCTGTTGTCTATTCCATTTGCACAACAGCATGTGAAATGTATTGTCAATCAGTGTTGCTTCCTAAGTGGACAGTTTGATTTCACAGAAGTGTGATTGACTTGGAGTTACATTGTGTTGTTTAAGTGTTCCCTTTATTTTTTTGAGCAGTGTATATCGTAAATCGGCCATAAGTTTGAAAAAGATAGAGCTGATTTTTAGGCCATATCGCCCAGCCCTACCTGCAGCGGCAAATACTGAGGCGGCTTATTATAATGCTTACCCAATAAAAATGCACTAAATCACAGATTTTGCTCATCATTGCACACATCATGAAATACACTGAGTGCTCATTCCATAACATAGACTGACCAGGTGAAGCTATGATCCCTTATTGATGTCACCTGTTAAATCCACTTCAATCACTGTAGGCTAGATGAAGGGGAGGAGACAGGTTAAAGAAGGATTTTTAAGCCTTGAGACAATTAAGACATGGATTGTGTATGTGTGGCATTCAGAGGGGGAATGGGCAAGACAAAATATTTAAGTGGCTTTGAACGGGGTATGGTAGTAGGTGCCAGGTTCACCGGTTTGAGTGTGTTAAGAACTGCAACGCTGCTTGGATTTTCACGCTTAACAGTTTCCTGTGTGTATCAAGAATGGTCTACCACCCAAAGGACATCCAGCCAACTTGACACAACTGTGGGAAGCATTGGAGTCAACATGGGCCAGCATCCCTGTGGAACACTTTCGACACCTTGTAGAGTCCATGCCCCGACGAATTGAGGCTGTTCTGAGGGCAAAAGGAGGGGGGTGCAACTCAATATTAGGATGGTGTTCCTAATGTTTTATACACTGAGGGTATATTGAGACAAATACACACAGTAGCCTACAAGTAACAAAATAGAACTCAATTGATTGAACATGAAATGTATTTCAATATGATTGAAATAGGCCTATAGCCGACTGTTTATATTTTAATGCAGTCATCTCATTTGCATAATATTTTTAAAGCCCTGGGGGACACCAGTAGTGAGAGTACATGGTGCAGACACAGATCCTCTCCACGTCACCTGGTAGGAGCGGCATGCCAGGTAGGATGCAATCCAAAAGTGTGCAGAGCCTGAGACGCCCAGCCCTGAGAGGGTGGAGGCAGTAGATAGATCTAGGGGAATGAAAACAGAGGAGAGAGAGTCAGTTTGGCAGTGCGGAGAGCCTCCGTGACACAGAGAAGAGCAGTCTTGGTTGAGTGATCCGTCTTGACGCCTGACTGGTTAGGGTCAAGAAGATAATTCTGTGAGAGATGGTGAATGAGTTGGTCAGAGACAGCACGCTCAAGTGTTTTGGAAAGAAGGGATACCGGTCTGTAGCTTTTGACATCAGAGGGGTTGAGTGTTGGTTTCTTGAGGAGGGGAGTGACTCAGGCCAGAGGGGACGCAGCCAGGGGTCAGGGATGAGTTGATGAGGGAAGTGAGGAATGGGAGAAGGTCTCCAGAAGGGAGGAGGGGATGTGGTTGAACAGGCAGGTTGTCGGGCGGCCAGACCTCACTAGTCGCAGGATTTCATCTGGAGAGAGAGGGGAGAAAGACGTCAAGGCGTAGGGTTGTTCTGTGTGAGTAGGACCAGTGGACTCAATAGGCTGAGTGAATGAGGAGCGGATGTATTCAACATTATTTTCAAAGTGGTTGACAGTCATCCACAGAGGGAGGAGGGAGGGGGGTGGATTATTAGGGAGGGAGGAGAAGGTGGGAAAGAGTTTCCTAGGGTTAGAGGCGGAAGCTTGAAACTTAGTGATAGAAAGTGGCTTTAGCAGCAGACACAGTGGAAGAGAAGGTAGAGAGGAGGTAGTGAAAGGATGATCGGTCCTGCGGAAGTTTAGTTTTCCTCCATTTTCGCTCAGCTACCCGTAAACTCGCAATGAGTCACTCAGCCACGGAGCAGGAGGGTCGGGTCGAGCCAGAGGAAAGGGGACATAATAATTAATAAACAAACTTGATATCAGTAAAAACACTAACTAATTGGTAGGTCTAACTTTACTTTAGAAATGTGAACATGTTGGTACTGTTACGTTCCGTAGCAAGAAACCAAAAATTGTTGCTCAAACAGAAGGGGGAACTAACGAAGAGTCACGAACAACCAAAACGAAACAGGTGGGGTTTTAGGAGGGGTTCTGAAAGACACTCATGGGGGCGTCCACTGAAAGTTGACTAGCAACAACAACTGGGACTGAAGTCACCCACCATGAGCGCCCACTAAATTTGCCCACTAAGAGGCAAACAAAAGGAAAAACCCCAGACCAAACTTAAAGACAGGAAGTAAACCAAAAAGTGGAGCAAAATGAAAACAGATAAAGGATTTGTTTGTCTAGGAATAGGGAGCGCCAACTAGTGGTTGACCCTCCACATCTCGCAAGACAACTGGAGCACTGGGCCAGCCACTCTTAAATAGCACCTGGGCCAGCACAGGTGAAACACCTTCCCACTAAAGCGATGGCAACCAGGACAGGTGTCACACATACTGACTAACAAGGTGACACCAATCAGTGTGCCCTACGTGCTAACAAGCTATACGTGCTGAAGAACAACCTCTAAACATACATGGAAAAACCTGTAACACCTTCCCCGTTAACATTTACATTTACATTTTAGTCATTTTGCAGACGCTCTTATCCAGAGTGAAAAAGTCACGTACGCTTCTATAACGCAAAATGTACAGTCAAAATAAATTGTGAGCCAGGGCTACACACTGGCTAAACACAAAACACATTACTTATCAACTGCCCACCCTTGAAAAACAATCAGTAACCAAGTTGTCCTTACCACGGACATGTCTGATTTCAAGGGGAAACTCCTGCAATATCCGTAGTAACTTTCCTCTCATGATTTTCCTCAGTGGAATTTGTTTGATTGGGGCAGTCCCCAACGTCAATGTCATGCTCTAGTGCCTGTTCTTGTTGTCTGGCTGCGTGTTCACGTTCTTGTTGTCTGGCTGCGTGTTCACGTTCTTGTTGTCTGGCTGCGTGTTCACGTTCTTGTTGTCTGGCTGCGTGTTCACGTTCTTGTTGTCTGGCTGCGTGTTCACGTTCTTGTTGTCTGGCTGCGTGTTCACGTTCTTGTTGTCTGGCTGCGTGTTCACGTTCTTGTTGTCTGGCTGCATGTTCACGTTCTTGTTGTCTGGCTGCGTGTTCACGTTCTTGTTGTCTGGCTGCGTGTTCACGTTCTTGTTGTCTGGCTGCGTGTTCACGTTCTTGTTGTCTGGCTGCGTGTTCACGTTCTTGTTGTCTGGCTGCGTGTTCACGTTCTTGTTGTCTGGCTGCGTGTTCACGTTCTTGTTGTCTGGCTGCGTGTTCACGTTCTTGTTGTCTGGCTGCATGTTCACGTTCTTGTTGTCTTTCCCTGTGCTCCAACTCTAATGTAATGTTGTTCCAATTTTGCCTTTAGTTCAAACTCCCTCAGCTGCACGTCTACGGGACTCACGCCACTACCTGTAAGACCCTTTTCATCAACTTCCTCCTCCACCAAATCAGTATAGACTAACTCTTTGACTACTGCTTTTGAATCGGCATGTGCAACTTTGATGTCATAATGCTTTGCAATGATGAGCAGATTCGCCTTCGTACATTGATCTAGCATCACCCATGTAGGGATTTCCACAAATGTTTCCAACTTAAAGGCTATTGTCTTCACAAAACTGCCTACTGGTCAAACTGGATTTTTCTCTGTCCTATTGATTGAAAGATATTTTAAAGTGAATAGTAGGTGGATAGGAATTTGCACCCTTTGGAAGTATTCCTTACCTGAAGGCCCATGGGTAAAACAACGTATTACCACATAGGCTTAGTCCAGTCTGTAGCCTAACCTATAGCCCAGCTTATTCCAATTCATTTATAGCCTACTTGAAATTATAGGTTTACAGACAAATGTTTCCTCAGTTTTAAATTGAGATGTGTCTGTGAAGGCTGCTATATGGGATATATTTATTGCATTGAAATGACTAGGCCTATCTCTGCTCTCTGCCACTCTCTAAAGAGTCTACACAATACCAGAGCTATGTATCTTACACATATTGTACACCATTTTCACTAAACATTTGTAGTAAACTACATTATGCTTGTACACTAATAGTTTGAGTAGTTTGTAAAATGGTACATTTCTCTCAAGCTTTCCATAAGATCTGTTCATTGTTCACCCTTTTACAAATGCACACAGTAAATTGGACAGTGTGTCTCCAGACTTATGTTTGTGGTGTTTGTGGAGGGTGTGTGGTTTCATCCCTTGATGGGACCATTTTTAAAAATCAACCTGAAGCCCTTCTGCTGTGTCTCAGTCTCTGACTGTGATGGGATGTCTGTTTTACAGAGTCACTGACTGCTGCTTAACCTTGATGGGCGAATCAGGGTCGCGCCGCTCCACGCTCGTCTCCAGGCTGCCCATCTTCAGGCGGAGCGTGAGTAAGAGGCAGAACTCGTTGCCCTCCTCCCCGTCCTCAGGCGGCGTGGGCAATGGCATCCACACCTCGTCCCCCTCCAGCACCAACTCTAGCAACAGCAGCACGGGCAAGCGCCGCAGCCTGTTCCGCACGCCCTCCATCCGCTTCGGCAGCAAGAGGAACAGCGAACCACCACGCATCCAGACCCCTCCACTAGACCCAGCCCAGGACGCCAACGGCAGCCAGGCCAACCCTCATCTGGGCTTCCACGATGGCGCTGGGCCTCCACGGGCCAAGACGCGCCACTCCTTTGGTTTCGGGGGCCACCGGCAGAAGAAGATCACCCGCTCGCAGACGGAGGACTTTGAGAAGGTGTCCTCCACGGCCAATAGGAACCTGTTCAGCAACTGCATCAGCTCAGGTACCAATGAGGGAGATGACTCTGGGTTTCTGGATGACTACAGCAGCGGCAGCAAACGCTCGTCCAGGCAGAAGAAACAGCTGCTACCCAAGTCATTCTCTGCACACCATCGCTTCTCCAAGAACTCTGAGCAGTGCAAGCCCCCGGAGGTGAGCATAGAGCCCCCGACGTCTGGGGGTACCCCGGGCTCGTGGCCAGGCGAGCTGCTGGGGGAGAGCTCCCTGCAGTCGCCCATGCTGTCTGAGGACCGCACAACGGCGATCACCCCCTCCGAGTTTAATGTCCCCATCACAGAGGACTCTGTGTCCGTGGTGGATGCGCCTTCCGCCCCCAGCCCAGACGACCCGCAAGACAACAACTTCAGCCATGTCGTCTCTACCTCCGAAGTGATCTTCACGCCTGCCCAAGCTTCCACAGACAAGACCCTACTGCCAGACACCTGCACCACCAACACCACGGAGTGTGAGACTGCAATTCCTGTCACGGGGCCAGCAACAGCTGCAACAACACCAATGCCACCGCAACAACAACAATCACAGGAAGAGAAGGAAGAGGGGGAAGAGGAGAAGGAAGATGTGTTGGTGGTGGAGGAAGAGGTCAGACCAGAGCAGACAGAGACTAGTGAGAGCGAGGCAGGCCCAGTGCGTAGTAAAGGCTACCATTCCAATCCAGAGCAGTCTGAGACGAGGTCCAGGAACTCCGTACTCATCCAGGAACCAGGGAAGGGAGCGTGCTGCGGTAGACATGAACCCAGGTCATGCCACCTGAGGAAACCCCACACAGGTAAGAACTAAAGACGTTTATGTATTCACACGTGCAGTACTGATCTACCTCTATGTGATTGTCATTGATAATACAGAGAGGAGGGGCATGGCTCTATGTAAATCCCTGACCAAGTATTTTTGGCCAAAGTGTTTGCCCACTATTGCCTGAGTTTGTGTTTCGATCACCAACATTTTCTTTTCAAAGTGGTTGAACTTCACACTGATTTCACATGTAGAAGGTAGACCAATAGACCTAGTCTGAAATGAATGCTATGCTTTATGTGGATTATGCAGAAATCAGGAAGTACCAAAGTCAGATCGACATGACTGATTGGGCAGCACTATTTTAGTCCCATGTACAGTGGGAACTATTTCCTCATAAAGGTATTAACCTATGGACAGCAGTTTCCTTAGACAATGTAGGCTCTAGTCATTGAGATCACAACGTTGTATCGGGCCCGTTATGGTGTCTGTGAGCACACAGAAGTAGTTCATTTTCTTCTTCTACTACTTCTATGAGTTGGTAAACAAACTGAAAGGGTGCACGCTGCCACCTGGAGGGTGTTGTCTGAACAGGTATAAAGCCAAGGTTGGCTATCTACCGCCACCTGGAGGGTGTTGTCTGAACAGGCACAGTGTAGTCACAGTGATGCTGAAACGTCGGGTGTTTTACCCAATAAATTACTGGGAGCTTACATAAAGAGTGTGCGACTCTCTTTATTTTTAATGAACAGGTATAAAGCCAAGGAAGGTTGGGGATTTACTGCCACCTGCAGTTATGGAATGTTTTCTCACGAGTATAATTAGTTGGTTCATCCCTGCTGATGACTGTAAGTCGCTTTGGATAAAAGCGTCTGCTAAATGGCATAAAAAAAATAAAATAAAAAATAAAAAGACCTATATAGAATCATATGTTCCTTCCTTAACATACCGGGGGTCACGTTAATGCAGAATTCTGCGTTTTTCACGCAGAATTTTTTTATAAAATAGAGAAATAAATATTTTGCAGATGTAAAATGCTTCTTATTGTAATTTCTGCTCGGCTTCAGTCACATTTCGCTCACAATCATTTATGTAAAAGGACACATTTTGTATCGTCTTGATAAATCAGATTCCTGCATTCACGAACTGCATTCGATCAGCAGGCCGCGCTCTCCGGTGTAGTTTTTCTCTGGTAGCAAGTTAAAATGCAAGATTCACTTCAAGTAAAACATTAGGAAATGTAGCTGGCTACATTCTTTCTATGATAAACATGAGAAATCTGATGGCCATGCATAGTTTTTGCAAAAAGTATCTTGCTTTTTCACTGTAAGCTAATTTACTAATGTGTGGCTACTAGACAAATAGTTTTGCACTTCAGTTGTCATCTGATGAAAACGAAAGTATTTTCTGCCTAATGTTTTTTGTGTGAAGAATAACTATATTTGCACGCCCTTGATCGCTCTTGAAGCAAACAAACACTGTTTACTTTCAATATAAAACGCAGGTGAAATGGTTTAAAACCCAGATTTTTTGATGGTCTGCGTTTTGAAAATGTAGATTTCTAAAAGCAAATGCACTCCAGGAACAAACAGGGTTGAAGAGCACTGCTCTAGTCACTGCTGGGACAATTCCTAGACTTTGGCTATGTTTTTCTGAAACAGCCCGCTAGACTCCAGAGTTACCCTGACAAACTTGAACAGTGTCTGAATAGTTTTCCTAAGACAACTGTGTGTTAACGGCGTAAGTTAACCTACTGGTTTTGGTCAGTGTTAGGCTATCCATAATGATAACACATCACTTTTGTTGTTCATTTTTTATGTAAGCCTATTTCTTGTCTGTCTGTTGCTTTAGTCTACTTTGCAATGCTCCCTCTAAGCTGCATGGGAACTGCCCCGCAGAAGAAATATCAGCCCGCGCAGAGGAGCACAAGAATGAACTTCACTCAACTCTCTAGTTTTCCCTTTTAGTTAACACTATCGACGTTTCCCTGTAGTGTGCGAATTGTGATCGAATCAATGCAACATTAGCCACTTTCAATGCAACATACCGAAACAAAACGAACTATGCAAGAGATTTTCTTGTAGGCAGAGTTCATTGGAGTAGGATTCTATTGCATTGACAGGCAGGACTCAGGCCCTACTCTACACAGACCGGTGTGCCATAACCAATCAGAGCTGCAGTATCCCAATGTGCAAGTAGACCATTGCCATATATGGATCTGTGCCACTCACTTTGAACTGGAGTGGTCGTGAGTAGATGCGCTTGTTCTGAGATCAAAGCAAGAGCTGCATGTCGCCACGTGTGTACATTGGTTCATATTCTTTGCTAGTAAGTGAGTTATTAGCCCAGTTATAGCTAATTTCTAGTCAGCAATGGGGGAGTGGTTGCTTCCTACAAGAGCACAATACTTGTGCATTTCTAGCCATCTTTGAAAAGCAAGTCAGGTAAAGAGCTTTTTTCTGTCTTAAAGGGGCAGTGTTGTATTTTGAGACAGGCTTGAATAAGCTAAGTAGCCAATAGACCCTTTCTGCGTTTGCAAACATTGCCGTATGAGGGCGTTGCGGTCAACTTCTTGGCAGAACACGGGGGAGTTCTTATAGAACGGCAGCAAAAAAAGCCTCTATTTACATGTTGCTTATGAGTGCATTTCACACAACTTTTGGATTATAATTGGATTTTAAGGCTTGTATGAATGTCCTGCTTAATATGTGTGTCATCATCACAAATCAAATTATACTTTTTTTTTTAAAACACTTCAACTTCAACCAGTAAAATGGCTCTTTGGTTAGCTTTTGCTACATGTAAAGTAGACACAGGGAGTCAGGAAGCAAGTGCAGTTAGTGAGTTTAATGAGGAAGAACATTGAATGATACAAATCAAGAAAAGCGTCTAAACATGGAAACATAAACAATATTACCTGGTGGGTGATAACAACAGAGTGCTATATAAAGGGGAAGTCATCAGGGAGGTGATGAAGTCCAGGTGTGCCTAATGAGGCGCAAGTGTGCGTAATGAAGATTGCCAGGTGTATGTAAGGATGGGTTGCCAGGACCGGTGGTTAGTAGACCAGTGACGTCGAGCGCCGGAGATGTGGAGCGGGAGTGGACGTGACACTACAGCCTATGTCAACAACTGCTGCATCCAAAATAGTTATTTTGCAAAGATCACAACCAAATATAATCTTAGTGACTGTTCAAGCAAGAGTCAAAACATAATTGTAAGCGTATGAGAACCCAAAACAGTTATTTTGTTTAGATGTAATAAAAACATACATTTAGGCTATGTTGAATTGGCGCAGATGGCGATGGCTTTCTTACTGCCGCCAAGAGTCGCGAGCATCTGTGCGTGATGTCAGTGTGTTGTGTACCGGAAAGGGGTCTATAGGCAGAGGATAGCATAATTTGTCTGATTCTCTGTAATAATGAAAAGTTGTTTCTTGGATCAAACAACACAACATTTTCAGTCACCTCCTCATTGTCTGAAAGACAAGCAGATAAACCGGTTAATGTCAATCCCTACATGTTTTATTCAAAGGTCTCATGGAATGTAGGCCTACATTGAACACCACACATTGGCTGCTACTGTAGGCTGAATGATATAACAGCTATTTCCATGTTAAAATGTTATGGGATGCATTTTCTCCATTGTTTTTGATGATAGGCCACTCTGGTAGGCCTACACTATGATCAAATAGCCACAGTAGGCTACTTGGCCACTGTTAAAACTGTAAGTTAAAGCGGGTACAGCCTCAGTGTTCACAGTAAACGCGCTCCAGAAGTTGCACAGAATTTTCAATATTAAAAGTTGCGCTAAGCAGACCTGAAATGTGCTCAGTGCCGAAAGAATTAGAGGGAACATTGCTACTTTGTATTGCTGATAACACGTAAGTAGTTATACTTACACCTAAATAATGTGCTCAGTGATAATGTAGATCTAACCCAAATTCAGTCAATTAGTAAAAGTAACCTTATTTCATCACTATATTGAAAATAAATGCCTTCACATTCGTGTAAAGATTACTTAAAATCATTTGGCTCCTTGAAATCAGTGAAGCTGTTGTTTCAAAATACTGGATCGTTTCCAGGCTTGCGATAGCCAATCGATTATTTTCTTGTTTTTAAGTTTTTCCCCAACATGTAGGCTAGTCCTGTGTTTTTTGTGTTTGTCTGTGTCTCATAGGACAGTCTGTCTACTTGTTTTGCCTAGCTCCCTGTCTCCACGTCAGTCTTGTGCTCTGCCCTCCAGTGTCCATGTGCAGCAGCAGCGCCAGCCCCTACCACGAAGTGATGCGCAGGGAGCGCCGGCTCCGCTCCTCCTCGGAAGGGGCCGGGGTGCCGCGGGGGCTCCACCTCAACCTCAGAGATCCCCACTGCGCCACCGAGGGTAACACCCTGCTCAGAAAGAGGAACAACTCATCCTCCTCCAAGCTGGGCAGCCTGGTAGGTGTTTACGTCACTACAGTTATAGTTCAGTACAGTAGGGTTACAATTAGGGTTGCAAAACTACCGGTAATTTACCAAAGTAAGCAGAATCTTTCTATGGCGATCAATGGTAACTTGGGTCATTTATACCTCAATAACATAAGATCATGTTTGACAGCTTTGACATTAATTTTTTATTTTTTAAAGAATCATTTTATTAGATTATTTGATATATTTTACATGTTATGAGGCCACACAGGGGGCCAGAGATAATTAGACACCTGTGATCATCTGAAGTAACAAAAAAGCCAGCCTGGTATGTGCTTCCACTACACTACAGTACAGTAGGGCTACAGGACAGTGGTTGGCGCTAGCAACGTCAGGGTCCTGGCTTCAATTCCTGCTAGGGCTAGCCAAATGAAAATGTATGCACTGATGTAAGTCGCTCTGGATAATAGCATATAAATATACAGTACCAGTCAAAAGTTTGGACACACCTACTTATTCAAGGGTTTTTCTTTATTTTTACAATTTTTTACATTGTAGAATAATAGTGAAGACATCAAAACTATGAAATAAGAGTGTGCAAAGCTGTCATCAAAGCAAAGGGTGGCCACTTTGAAGAATCTCAAATGTAAAATATATTTTGATTTGTTTAACACTTTTTGGGTTACTACATGATTCCATATGTGTTATTTCATAGTTTTCTACAATGTAGAAAATAGTAAAAATTAAGAAAACCCTTGAATGAGTAGGTGTGTCCAAACTTTTGACTGGTACTGTATATACATACGCAGTATATTACACTATATTACAGTACATGAAAGGACAGCACAGCAGGGGAGCTTGGTAGGTGTTTACAGTACAGCATACGACAGGACAGCAGGACAGGACAGCAGAACAGGACAGCAGGACAGGACAGCAGGACAGGACAGCAGGATAGGACAGCAGGACAGGACAGTTGGACAGGACAGCAGGACAGGACAGCAGGACAGGACAGCAGGACAGGACAGTTGGACAGGACAGCAGGACAGGACAGCAGGATAGGACAGCAGAACAGGACAGCAGGACAGCCTGACAGGACAGCAGGACATCAAGAAAGGACAGCAGGACAGGACAGCAGGGGAGATGGGCGCGGTGCTAGCGGCTACCCATTGGTGTTGCAGACTAAATAGCTTAGTCCATGGCCGCATCCTCTTCTTGATTACACTCTCACACAGGGATAACAGCACCGCCCTGAATTAAACAGACTAATCCTCTCACTAACTGTGTTGCAGATCAGTGCAACAGGCTGTCCCTACTCAAGGGACTACTCACACCTCCTTCCCTCTCTGGCCACTCCAATCCACATCCATGCATAAACAGGAAACACTTCTGCAGTGAAAGTACTCATTTTGTAGTGCACTATACTAAGATGTATTTCGTTTTCGAGGTGACGCAAACACCCCTCATCTTCCATACTCGGAAGGGAAAGCACATGTGTAATACGTGCACGTGTGGCTAAAGCTGCGGTTGATGAAATGGAAGTGGCGGCAGTCTCTCCAATCTTGGTTTGAAGTTTCCCCCAAGTGCTCTAGTGGGGAATCGGGGAGCATGGCCGTAGGAGTGTATTACCAAATCACTCTCCTTTTCAACTTTGTGGGAATATCAGAAGGCACTCCATTGTGACGAGCAAAGCTTCAGTGAGACGCTGAAGTGTTTTCCATCGTCTGTTGAGTAGGCTCGTGGTTTCATGAGCATGATGCAGAGGCGGACTAAAGAATGTTAGCTGGACAAGTACAAGGGAACACTGGGGAAATACCCCCCCCCTTCTCTGTGTCATAATTAGAATACACTCAACAGCCAACAGGATATGGTTGCTCCCTCTTCTACTGTGGGTTCAGGATACACAATCAAGTGCAGAAACTTGTCAATGCTGTTGCCATGGAAATTGAGTAAGGTACAGTAGATGATGCATCCACTTCATAAGACATGCTAAGAGTACCGTGTGGCTGTTAAAGGAACAAGTAAAAAGACACTATCATACAGCATGGAATAGTTAACCAACCCTTATTACAAAATATGTGGGAATTGTAATAGGGTTGGGTGATATTTGGCCAGACCTCTTCTACGATATGCTATTCCAAATATCACGATAACGTCGTTTTACATTTACATTTTAGTCATTTAGCAGACGCTCTTATCCAGAGCGACTTACATTTAGTGAGTGCACATTTTTTCATACTGGCCCCCCGTGGGAAACGAACCCACAACCCTGGCGTTGCAAGCGCCATGCTCTACCAACTGAGCTACAGGGACTAATGACTTGCGATGTTAATGACTAGATAATTCAAAATATAATAATTATTTACGATATTATAGTCACATTCTCATTAAAGGTGCACTATGATCGCTCCGCCATTTCCTGGTTGCTAAAATTCGAATAGTTCGGCTAATTTCAGTTTATCTGACAAAACAAGCAAGTATAGTGTAGAGAATCATTGTACCATCTAAACCGCTGTGAAATATATTTTCCATAACCAAAAATATTGTATTTTCAGCTGTTTGAAGCTGGTGTACAAAACCGAAAGTAAAAGACGCAAAAACTAAACTTAAGAACGGGAAGCATAGAACTAGCGCACATAGAACAGATGTACTGCTTCTTAGACTTGCTTTCAATGAGAATGACAGATCTATAACTACAATTTCTATATGAATTTGGTTGGGTCACCCAAAAAGTTACATATTGCAGCTTTAAATAATCTTAGTATGACAAAAAAATAAGGCTTAGTTAATACATTTAGACTTTATTTTCAACATAGGCTATATTACTAACTGATACAACTGCACGGTTTGGATTTGTAAAGTTCAAATTGAGTATAGTCTTAACCATCATGATATATCGTCAGTGTCAAATACAGTATCACGAAATTCTATTTAATCATATATCGGCCCAGCCCTAAATTGTAATCTCCCTTGGCCCGTAGTAGACTGGTAAGGAAACATTTGAGTACTTATTTGATTTGAGTGAATTGTCCCTTTAACACTAATAATTTGGGTACAAAGCAAGTCCATTATTGGCTACAAGGAAGTTCTATGAATTTCCCCTCCTTAACTCTGGGTATTCACCAGGAATTTTTCTGTTTCAAAATGTTCTGCTATTGTGCAAAAAGTTTTGCTATGGTATGCGTTAATGAATACACCCCTGGTTTCTGGACCCTCTGCAACTGAAAATATTTTCTTGATCCTCTTGAATTTACTGACCCAAAGCCTTTCTAGGTGAAAAAGAAGACCTACAGTGAAGAAATTGGCAGTGAAGAAATTGATCCTTGTTTTATCAAACCACCATTATTTATGTCCATTTAGCGTTAAAGCGCCAATCAGTAGTTGAAACAATAACAAAGTTGGGTCACCGCCCCTGTTTTGGTAAAAGGTTGAGGGATGGGGCTGAAGAAATGTAACCACCTTCAAATTCATAGACAGAGCTATGAATGCAAGGACTGACCATTCATGACATCAAAATTCTAGTTTTAACCATGTTTTTTGAGGCTATACAGTATTCGTTTACATTTAAAAACAAGCATATTTTGGGTTCTGATGGAGTACGACAGTTGAACTAAGCTCGTGAGGCAAGAATCAATGGGTGCATGTCATTAATTTATAAGTCCAGAAATGAATGTAGCAACTGCAGATTGCCTCTTTAAGATACTCACTCAAACATCATTGCAGGGTGAAAAAGGTCAGAGCTTGCACAGTGAAGCAGTATTAATACACATCTATAGCTGGGGGGTGACATTAACAGATTAGTTTAGCTCCAAATGATGTACAGTGGGGAGAACAAGTATTTGATACACTGCCGATTTTGCAGGTTTTCCTACTTTCAAAGCATGTAGAGGTCTGTCATTTTTATCATAGGTACACTTCAACTGTGAGAGACGGAATCTAAAACAAAAATCCAGAAAATCACATTGTATGATTTTTAAGTAATTAATTTGCATTTTTTTGCATGACATAAGTATTTGATCACCTACCAACCAGTAAGAATTCCGGCTCTCACAGACTTGTTAGTTTTTCTTTAAGAAGCCCTCCTGTTCTCCACTCATTACCTGTATTAACTGCACCTGTTTGAACTCGTTACCTGTATAAAAGACACCTGTCCACACACTCAATCAAACAGACTCCAACCTCTCCACAATGGCCAAGACCAGAGAGCTGTGTAAGGACATCAGGGATAAAATTGTAGACCTGCACAAGGCTGGGATGGGCTACAGGAACAATAAGCAAGCAGCTTGGTGAGAAGGCAACAACTGTTGGCGCAATTATTAGAAAATGGAAGAAGTTCAAGATGACGGTCAATCACCCTCGGTCTGGGGCTCCATGCAAGATCTCACCTCGTGGGGCATCAATGATCATGAGGAAGGTGAGGGATCAGCCCAGAACTACACGGCAGGACCTGGTCAATGACCTGAAGAGAGCTGGGACCACAGTCTTATAGAAAACCATTAGTAACACACTACGCCGTCATGGATTAAAATCCTGCAGCGCACGCAAGGTCCCCCTGCTCAAGCTAGCGCATGTCCAGGCCCGTCTGAAGTTTGCCAATGACCATCTGGATGATCCAGAGGAGGAATGGGAGAAGGTCATGTGGTCTGATGAGACAAAAATAGAGCTTTTTGGTCTAAACTCCACTCGCCGTGTTTGGAGGAAGAAGGAGGATGAGTACAACCCCAAGAACACCATCCCAACCGTGAAGCATGGAGGTGGAAACATAATTCTTTGGGGATGCTTTTCTGCAAAGGGGATAGGATGACTGCACCGTATTGAGGGGAGGATGGATGGGGCCATGTATCGCGAGATCTTGGCCAACAACCTCCTTCCCTCAGTAAGAGCATTGAAGATGGGTCATGGCTGGGTCTTCCAGCATGACAACGACCCGAAACACACAGCCAGGGCAACTAAGGAGTGGCTCCGTAAGAAGCATCTCAAGGTCCTGGAGTGGCCTAGCCAGTCTCCAGACCTGAACCCAATAGAAAATCTTTGGAGGGAGCTGAAAGTCTGTATTGCCCAGCGACAGCCCCGAAACCTGAAGGATCTGGAGAAGGTCTGTATGGAGGAGTGGGCCAAAATCCCTGCTGCAGTGTGTGCAAAGCTGGTCAAGACCTACAGGAAACGTATGATCTCTGTAATTGCAAACAGGTTTCTGTACCAAATATTAAGTTCTGCTTTTCTGATGTATCAAATACTTATGTCATGCAATAAAATGCAAATTAATTACTTAAAAATTATACATTTACATTTACATTTAAGTCATTTAGCAGACGCTACTTACAGTTAAGTGAGTGCATACATTTTCATACTGGCCCCCCCTGGGAAACAAACCCACAACCCTGGCGTTGCAAACGCCATGCTCTACCAACTGAGCTACATCCCTGCCGGCCATTCCCTCCCCTACCCTGGACGACGCTGGCTAATTGTGCGCCGCCCCATGGGTCTCCCGGTCGCGGCCGGCTACGACAGAGTCTGGATACGAACCAGGATCTCTAGTGGCACAGCTAGCACTGAGAGGCAGTGCCTTAGACCAATGTGATTTTCTGGATTTTTGTTTTAGATTCCGTTTCTCACAGTTGAAGTGTACCTATGATAAAAATTACAGACCTCTACATGCTTTGTAAGTAGGAAAACCTGCAAAATCGGCAGTGTATCATATACTTGTTCTCCCCACTGTACCATTTTCTAGCTCTGAGTCTCTACTTTTATCCAGTGTAAAAAACACAATTTCAAATTTTGCTACATAAGACCGAATCGTGCCGGTCGGTCACATTTACATAAGTATTCAGACCCCTAGAAATTGAGCTCAGGTGCATCCTGTTTACATTTATCATCCTTGTGATGTTTCTACAACTTGATTGGAGCACCTGTGGTGAATTCAATTGATTGGACATGATTTGGAAAGGCACACACCTCTATATAAGGCCCCACAGTTGACAGTGCATGTCAGAGAAAAAACCAAGCCATGAGGTCGAAGGAATTGTCCGTAGAGCTCCGAGACAGGATTGTGTCAAGGCACAGATCTGGGGAAGGATACCAAAACATTTCTGCAGCATTGAAGGTCCCCAAGAACACAGTGGCCACCATCATTCTTCAATGGAAGAAGTTTGGAACCACCAAGACTCTTCCTAGAGCTGGCCGCCCGGCT